GTTTTTTGAACATTAAAGCATGTCAACATATTCTGTTACACCAAATACACAATATAATGATCTTTAAAATAGCATCATATGACCCCTTTAAAGGAATAGTTCACCCACAATGAAAATTTGATGAAAAATTTACTCACCCTCAGGCCATCCAAGATGTAGGTGAGTGTTTTTCTTCATCAGAACAGATCTGGAGAAATGTATCATTACATCACTTGTTCACCAGTGGATCCTCTGCAGTGAATGGGTGCCATCAGAATGAGAGTCCAAACAACTGATATAAACATTACAATAACCCACAAGTAACCCGGTGCATCAGTTAATGTCTTGTGAAACTAAAAGCTGCTTGTATGTAAGAAATAAATCAATTTTGCTTCTGGACAAAATATTCTTCCTCCAATGAAAAGGTCAATCCACTGTTGTCCTCTCACATCAAAATCCACGGACTCATTTGTTTAGAACTGTTTAGACTGTTCTTCTCTTGTAAACAGTGCTTTATCTGTGCGTATTTCTCTCCTGATTCAGATGAGTTTATTTTTTTTCCACTGGAGAAAGCAATATTATGGATAGCAAACTCATATTTTAGCCAGAAGCAGCGTTTTGAATTAAAAACGTCTTGATAGATTTCTTTATAACACGAGCAGCTTTTTCTCTTCACAAGACATTAACTGATGCATTGATGTAGGTGTGTGGATTACTTGTGCATTATTATGTCTTTATCAGATGTTTGGACTCTCATTCTGACGGCACCCATTCACTGCAGAGGATCTATTGGTGAACAAGTGATGTAATGCTACATGTATCCAAATATTCTGATGATAAAACAAAGTAATCTACATTGATGGCCTGAGGGTGAGTGAATTTTCAGCATATTTTCATTTTTGGGTGAACTATTCCTTTAGGTATGAAAAAACAGCTCAATTAGAAACACAAGATTCAGGGAATCTAGTTTGACCCAGCTTTACTTTATTTACGTGCCTTCAAACGAGTCATACATGCTTTTAGAGCAGCAATTTGCACTCAGTGGTTTACATACCAAACATTTACCAAAATATCTCATACTGTGTTTATTTTTATTCATAATGTTTAATTTGTCGAGTAATCATTTGACAGGATTGTAAGGTTAACTATATATTTTCTTTTTTTTTTTTTTAAGTTTTCTTTCTGCTTTTTTATTGTTTCTTGTTTAGTAAACCCCTGGAACATATTATTAGAGAGCAGCCATTTAAAACTGTGCACCATTTCTGTGGAGTCAGCATTTCCTTAATAATTATGACAAACTTTTTAAACAGATACTGCATTTGCACATGGAGAAATGCTGTGGACCCATCTACTGCTGGTTTACTACACTAAACAACCCTGAAGAGTCCAGCTGATTTGCATTGCGCTAACATGAACTGTCAACCTGCCTGTGCATTTGTATATGTGCTATTGTATTTATTTATTTTATTTTCTAAATAATTATGTAAATACGTGTAATTTAATCTGGCAAATTTTTCTGTTGACCCAAGAGAATTTTCAGGTTCATGTTGCGCATTGCAATTATTTGTATTGTGTAACATTTGTATGAATTTTATATCATGTGAAATCTCTCCGAAACTGCAGCTGCAAGATGCATGATTTTTTTTTTTTTTTTTTTTTTTTTTTTAGATTAGGATAAAGAAGTTAGACTAGATTTTAGATTTAGAATAGTAGGCTATTCATTCTCATCACTGGAATAAAGGGTCGGGTGCTGAAATTGCACATACAATTGTTTCTCAATGTAATATCTCACAACGGAAAACTACAAAAGCTAAAAGATACATCTTTGTACCTTATTTACCCATAAATGGTGCATATTAGTACCTTAAAAGTACGTATTGCTACATTTTGAAAGGGTACTGCCCCAGTTACAGATTTGTACCTTTCTGAGAGTGTATAGAGAGTAATATTAAATCAGCCAGCCAGTTAAGTTAAACCCCAGAGGGTGATCAGGACCACAAAGCAAGCAGAAGGGGTTTATTTAGCAAAAACAACTATCTGACTATACATTATCTTGCTTATTCTGCAGCTACTCACCACATTAATTGATGTAAGTTTATTATTAACAGTTTTGAAGATATCTAATAAATAAGACACAAGATGGGTGGATTTGTGTTTGCATAGAACAAGAAATTAACGTTGGTTTCAGTTAAGGTGTGATCACATTTATCGTTGTTTGGCAAATTTTTGGGAGTGAAATCCATTCATTCCAATAGAAATCTATGCGACTGGGAATTTTGTGTGATGGCGAAAGGTTTCCCCACCCAGATTTTGCAGCAGGTTTAAGTTAGTCTTGCAAATTCGCTGCAAACTTTTTGCCCACAAGCATTTGCTAAGTGCACAGAAGTCACTTTCAAACCAAGCAGCTTTCTGCTGGTCAACGTGATGAATTTGTGTGACTATGAACCTGTTGTGAAATTTAAGTGGGGAATTTTTTCGCCCTTACACAAAATTCCAGATTGCATGGATTCTTATAATTAATGCTAAATGCGCACCTTACTTGAATGAGCAGACTAATAAACATAGAGAGTTGTTAATGGCGACACCAACATCTCTACACCCGATTGACCAATCAGAATCGAGTATTCCAGAAAGCCACGTATTGAATTCATATGTAGAGTAGATCTGTAAACAGTTTTTCCCAGTATTTATTCCATGCACTGGCATCACTTTATACTGAAATGAGTATTGTTGTAAATGCAGTGCATGTTAAATCACTCTTGTATATGGGATGTCAAAGCTTGAGAACACCCGGTGTGAAGAGCAACACTCCTGAACATAATTCACATGAGTGTGTTTGGTGACACGTACTAAATTAAATTTTAGTGCATTCAATGTCCTACACTAAATGACATTTA